CTAACTGATTGCTGTTATGCAGTGGCACTGGTTTAAGACCAAACCTCTCTGCGATGGATAGGGTCCAGTGCACCCCTAGACATTGTGAAATTAAGATCGCAAGTAAAAGTAACCAGAGGCAATCTGTGACTGGCGTGTAGATCGACGAAAATTGGTGAGATATCGATTAATATGACGTGCAGACTGACTTAATAACCAGGCATATTGATTAATGGTTTGGTGCATACATTCCTAACATGAGAGCAATGGGTGATGTGTAAAAAATTTTCGGGTAGGCACGTGAAGCGGATAGCGTACGGAGTATACGAGACAAGTACTGCTGAAATCGAAGAAAATGTATATGAAAACACGCCAGCTGTGTCAAGGCGCGTAAGCATATGTGTACGAGAAGACACCAATCGGTCCGCGAGATCATGAAAGGCATTGCGACAAAAGCCCGGGAATCGGACGACAGTTGGTAACAGCAACCAGAGAGTTAGATGAAGCAGTTACTTTTTAGTCAGGCATAAATATGATGACTAGGATATACATCAGTTAAAACGAGGAAGAATGAATTTACGAACCAACGGTCATCCGCCTTTGACGGGACAACGGCGCATACGGGATAAGAAAGCCCGTAGCGTAAATTGCTGCGGTCATAACGCAAAAGGTGAAAAATCCTGTACCCAATGGTGTATGTGATAGGTGGCCAACGATTAAAAGATGTCGAGAGACGGTAAACTGATTGAAAACAGTCCAATCGTAATCATAAACAAAACTGTCAGTAAACGGCCGTCCGGATCGGTTCGTAAATCGCTGTCAGCCGAGGATATCATGTTGACAAAAGTAATAGTCATATTTTTGGAGTAAAATAGACGTCCTATTCGGGAGCGAATACACATTGATTATGTCAGGGGTGAAGAGGACTAAACAAGTTTCTTTATTCAGCATAGCCAGTGGCATGAATGAGCTGCACTGAAAGAGGCCAGTGTAGAGTAGAATGTGGATAAAGGAAAATATAAAGTCTCGAATTTAACGGAACGCATCAGTTGCTGAGCACACATAGCTCCTCGGAGTGCGCAGCTTGCATCCCCAGCTGAACTCAGCCATAGAATTACCATGTGGCAACTCAAACCGCATAGGTAACAAGCGAGCGCTCCTCAGCTCACTGCTTCATCTACCACCTCAAGCCGCAGTGAACCGTCTGAGCTCCCTATTGGACACTGCGTTAACTACCGCAGCAGGCCACACTGGCCTCAAATGAGTTCTCCTCAGGACACCACGTGGCAACTAATGCGCTTCATAACTTACGCGTAAAACAATGCTGCTACACTACTGAGCCATAAATAAGGTGCAGAAGCCATGATTTGCCTTTAAGTGAGCCAGTCCTTGTTTCTGGATCTTGGTGCAGCCATACGAGATTACGCGTTCCGTCTGCTGTCTCAACTCGTATGTACGACGTTTGATGGGTATGCCATTTGGGCCATAGTAACCCAAATTTGATGGGCTATTCTGCGCTTGGGGTGCTATATGTGGAGAGCGTTTCGTCCGTTCCGACTAGGAGTCGCAACACCTAGGACGAGCAAATACAACACTTGGATACATGGAAATAATTGTGACGTACACCCTTTGAAATATGCTACTGCTCAGGTCTTCCCGTGCTCTTAGTCCCCTTCTTAGGCATTTTCATCCTTATGCCCTCGCTTTCAATTCCCCAAATCTTGGCCCTCCTCCACATTGTTTTGATCCGCATTCGACTAATGGTTTCCACTCACGTGAAAACGCAGTGCGCCACCCCTGCCCTATCGACGAACTTGAGTCTAACCAAGCGGTCAAGCCCAATTCATCAGCCACTATATTGTGCCCTCGATCCTTCCTAAGATTGATATTCCTAAACGTACGCACAGTGCTACAGATCACTCAATAGGCATTTGTCTGAACATTAGAGACCTTCTCCATCGAAATCTGCTGTCTATCAGGAAGCCGCCCACAAAACCCGAGTTCTGTTTCACTCTGCAAACCCCTTCAGGTGACACTAGCAGTGCTTTCCCATTGCGCCTACCATCCGGGGACGACGCAGATTAGAGTACCGGTGAAGCCGGTGTTGGTATTGCTGAGTCCCCAAGCTGAAGCTGCTATGGTTGATTGGATCCCAGTCAGAAGCCGAATGTGTGCGGTCCGACTGGCTGGCTCCTTCAAAGCTTCGAAGTCGCGCGGGACTAATAGGTACCTGTTAGTCATCGCTACCTAGGCTCCTCACAAACTGCAGCGATGACTCGGTAAAAGATGACTTCTATCGTCAACTGAATGAGCGCCTTCGCCACAGAAGGAGCACGGACACCAGTGCTGGCTGAGGACCTGAACGCTCAAGTTGCGAAATTGTTCACTGGGTGGCCAACATGGTGTAGGCTCCCGTGAAGAAAACGGTGACCGAGTACAACATTTGTGTGAAGATGCTGGCTCATTTCTCGCGAGCACTAACTTCCGACACAGGACCCACCGGAGCGTCAGCTGGCACCCACTAGGCTCGAAGCATTCATAGACACAAATCGATCACATTGCGATCAGTTACGGCTGGAGAGGGTGCGTCTAAAACTGTCGCTCGATTTGCAGCACATGTGCGGACACAGACAATGCATTTTATGTACTGACCTGTGGGTGCGTTTCGGTGGGCGCCCTCAACGACAGTGAGCGCATAGACACCAGCCAACCGGCGAAGCCACATGTGTGAATCGGAGTACACTGTCGTTCGCATTGAGTAAGTGCTGACTGAATACAGCTGAAGGTCACTGGTCATCCGTTCACCACACCTTAGTAGCAGCGAGCAGGTCCTCGCGTGGCAAATCCAGCAGTTAACATGGACAATAATGGGTCTCTTCGCAGTCTCTAAGACATATCGATGCATGCCGGCGCATTCCGGATGGAAGCGAACATCATGAGACTCGCAAAGACATCACCGCAAAACTCCGTGCTAGAGACGAAGAAGTGTGGTGGTCTCATCGAGCATCATAAATGGAAGTGGCCGCTGACCTTAGTAACAATGGGAAATTTTTCCGTCTGATAGGTAAACGAGCAGCAGGAGACCTGATGTTAGTGAAGCTATACGTGACGAGTGGGTAACCTATCTACAACTTGTCAAAAAGTTTGGAGCATTGGACAGAGCATTTTAAAGGCTATTTATTCGACCGAAATTGTTAGATCCCCCACTCCTTTTGCATCCGCCCTCTCGCTCAGTAGAAGTTGAAAACAGCCGTGGGACCAGATGACCTTCACCCAACCCTCTACAAATTCGGGGGCCCTGCTATTGTTGATGATTTATGCGAGTTACTAGTGAAACCGGTTCAACCGAGTGGAGCCGCTTCGTTATTGGCTCGATCTTCAAGGAAGGCCCACGTTGGGAATGTGGCAATCTTAGAGGAATCGATCGTATCTCCATCACTTCCAACTTGTTTGCTTTGCTATCTTTCACAGACTGACTAGCACTCGTGAGGAACAAGCCGGGTTTCGTTGAGGTCGGGGATGCATCGAACACATAAACACCTTGGGTCAGTTGTTGGAGCATGGGCACATATACTGGCGGCACCCCAGTACTCGTGTTCCGCGACATCAAAAGTGCCTTCGATTCGTTTGATCGATGTGCCCCTTTGGTACTGTATGCTAAGGAAAAGTGTGCACGAGAAATATGTAACTAGTATGCGAGCGTTTAATGAGCGTTCCTCAGGCAGAGTAAAGGCTTCAGGCGAGCTGTCACCGCCTTTCAATACCCCTAATGGTGTATGAAAAGGATGCCTGCTGTCACCTTTCCCCTTCAACTTTTCTTTTGATGGAGTCATGTTGAATGCGTTCAGAAGACAGGAAAAAGTAGGTGGGGAACTGCTCCCAAGTGAACGACTTCTTCACTTGGAGTATGCTCACGACATTCCCATTGTCTGTGACAGCTCATAAACGTGCCAAACAGCAATAGACAGACTAACACTGGCTGTCAGTCGTTTCGGGCTATACTTTGCACACACGAAGTACAAAACGTTCCCTCAAGATTGGCAAGCACTACCTCCTGCGCTGACCCTTAATGCGGATCAGATAGAAGTCGCTCAAAAATGCAAATACCTCGACAGTTGTTTCAGCGCCGCTGAAATCGAAGATGAAGTCACAAACCATATAGCAAAAGCACAAGGCGCTTTTGCTAACTTCCACCACCTATGGCGCCGTAGCGACATCACTCTCTTTTTGAAGGTTAGAGTGTACAATGCAGCCGTACGTTCGACCCTGCTGTACGGTTATGAAACCTGACACATGAGATTAGCCGACATAAAGAGGCGAGTTACGCCCGACAACCGGTGACTTCGCAATTTGGCTCATATCTAATGAGAACTCCACGTGAGCAATGATCGTGTTCAGCGCCTTGTTTATCGCACAGGAAGTAGTGAACCGCTCAGCCCCATTAGATTACGCACCAGGGGGATATGGCTTACGTGTTGCGCATGCCAGCCCACCGACTCCCGCGACGTGCGTTGTTTGCCTGCCAGGGGTGTGGATGGAAGATGAGGAAGGGTGGCCAAGCGATGATTTGGTAAAAAGAATGAAGGCCCTTACTTCGGAGTATCTCAGCTCCATGGTTAGGGACCGAAGGACGAGGAATACTTTTGGCTGGATAGACTTGTTGACATGGCTAGGAGCCGACCAGATAGGCGTGTGTTGTGGGTTTCTTTGTCTCTCCCCCTCCCGCTTAGCCTTCCCCTCCAACCAAGATCTCATTTCATATGTACAACATGATAGTCTTTGCGGCACAATAGCCGGCTGTTTGTTCTCCAGAACGATGTCCATCCGTTACCGGTGATTTGTTTTCTACCTCTAGCTAACGTGTATAATAATTAATGATGAGGATTCATGGATGTGAACGAAATCCGCACAATAAGTGGAACAGCTACGTCACTAAATAATGCTATTTAGTGATCAGTAAAGGATTTAAAGTAGTGACACCTGAGTACGCCAGCCTCACCACTAGAACCAAGGCAACCGTTCGAGTAGCCATTAGTCTATTTAAATCGTTTTTGGTTGTTCAAAGCGCCATAAGCAAACAAGATAACTTGGGTAATCGATGCTTAAGTACAACCAAAGTAGAAAAGGTTAAGAACGACTAGAACCAGTTTATGACAGCATTTCGTGGCTGACGGGACGATGATCATGGTGGCCATCTCTGTTAGCAATACACGAGCATCTTGGGTAGAGGACTAAATGGTATAGAACCGTGATCAAATGAACAACCTCACAAGAAAGAACAGATCAACAAACAAAGGGTGTCTACGACTTGGAAACAAGGCTCGGCCGAAGACATTAGCTCAGTAAGTACAGGAACAGATTAGCTGCAGTTTATGCTGCTTCAATTGGCAATAAACCAATCATCATGAGCGAAAATTTTCAGCTAAGTACAAGACGAACACAGACAATCGGTTACTATAACGAAATCACCGATCCCACTTGGAAACCACAGGGTTAAATATGAGAAAAAGTGACATCAACAGTACACCGGAAGAAGAAAGATATCGACGCTTCGCAGATAAGCAAGCTCCGGCAGTTGTAGATTTGAATCAATGATGCGTGGGTTACAATCTAAACACCTGCATCGCCCATCCACCGGTAGGTGTCATTTATGCAGAGGTATAGTGCTGAAAGAAAGAAATCATCTCAATTGCTACTGTGGTTATACATGCGGAGTTCCCAAAGTTGTACGCCGCACTCAGCCATCATCGCGAGGAGGCACAGTGAAACCAGGACGAATCGATGCATCGGACGCTTTCTGGAGGTTCGTCAAACTAAACAAAGTAAGTACAAACCGAACAGAGACCTGAATAGACAAAAACACAAACAATCATTAGAGTGGGTTCGAAAGTGGAAGACAATAAATCCATCCGTAGAGAAGGTCATAAAGGAGTTTCAGTGTGCTGTCTGCGAAATTCGGATGACCAAGTGAGTGCAAGAGGCACCAAGTGGAAAGTTGGCATTTGGATAAACAGAAATAGGGATGGTGGTGCGACCTCACAGCCAATGAATCCGAAGGGAAGAGAACAGACGAAATTTAAATAACCAACCTTTCGCAACGTTGCACGGTGACAAAATGTCAAAGATAAACGACATGGGCACGATGGGTGAGGGCAACTCCAGTGGAGATCCCCGAGCTGTGTACAGTGACCAAGGAGGGTAGAAAGCCTATTCCCAAAGACAAAAAAAGAAATCGAAGAAAAAGGAGAAAAAGGTAAAGGAGTAAGTCAAGTGTAATTTGTGCAACACAGAAGCGAGTAGATGGAACAGCTTCGTAGACACAAACACCGTAAGCGCCAGCGAAAGAATATGTGCAGTTACATATAATGTTGCATATCACAATAACAAACGAGAATGGCAAAATGGCCAGGAAGAATGTGCGCTGGTAAACGTGTTCACAGGCTCACAATTCATCGTGCAGTAGGGTGTACTTCAGATACGATGGTCGGAGGTTCTTGAAAACTGACTCCCGGGGAGTTGTATCATGTTCATGAGAGATCTGAAAAGGTGAACGCAAGCTCCCATTAACGGACTGGTTTAGGAGAGAAAAAGCACCAGAGCAATCGATAGGTGAATGAGAAAAACTAAATAAATGACAATGGAAAGTTTTCTAACGGACAGTTCAGTAGATTGTTCACTGAGGATAGAAACAGCACAGATTAACGGTACGCCCGAGTGGATGCAGTATAATCGTATAAAGATGCATCGAGAATCTGTCAATATGAAAAAAGATCGAAGGCAAACAAAGACCCTCAAAAACAACAGGTATTAAAAGCAACGTAAAAACACCAATGCGGGCTACCAAACGGGCAGTGGCCGAAGGGATTGTACGCCTGGATTGCAATCCTTAGGCCGCCGGTTCGAATAAGCGTAGAGGCCGGTGTCCCCGCAGTATGCGCAGCTCACGTGCGACCGGTGGTGGTCGCGTGGCAGCAAAGCGTCGGTACAATGTGCGTTGTACTGCGGAGGACTACAAGAATGGACCTTAACGTGGTGAAATGATTTGTGTACCACTCGGACTCACTGAGCTAAACAGGTTGGTGCACCCCAACCCTCTCACCAGGTTGGTCAATGGTGAGAGGTCAGACAAATTCAGACTTCTGGTCTTCCAAACTAGAGGCTTGAAATGGGATGGCGTACATTTTGGTAAAACTAAATAATTCCCACCACTCCGCCGTCTTGTGGATAGACTATTGAGCCAGGCTTTAACTGAGGACCATAATCGTCCTCCTGTCTACGTCTGGGCACCCCGGCAGCATCTCAGCCCTCGTACAATAGTGAGTATTTCTTCAAACTTGAACCATATCCCGCATCGGCCGTCGCGCAGAGTTTCAAGGGTCATTTCATCTGCTGCATACAGTAGGAAAGATATGCGAAAACATGCTACTGCTAGAGTCTCCTTTCTTTTCTACCTGTTTCTCCTACTCCTATCCGAACCCACATAAATAACTTTCGCACTATAATTCACAGCCTAATGGACAGCAGCTGTAATACCACTGGAGTCGAATCACCTGCAGCTGTCCTCCTGCATCAACCACCAGACGACTATTGACAACAACCCCTTATAAGGCCACGTGGTCAAGTTTTCATGGTGACATTCAACGTTCGCACTCGAACGCACGCGTGTTGCGTACCCGAAACAAGGATCAATTATCCTCACGGGGTTGTTGAATTAAATGCGACCGGCTCGTGTTCTTGCTAGTGGTTGCACGCAACCGGAACGCTGTCGCATCAGCCTCTGGTCAAGCTGGGATGGGCATTGTTCTCAGCTCCAAGGCTGCCATCGTTAGTTGATTGGAGTCCAGTGAACAGCCGTTTATGTGCAGCCCGTTTGACGACATGGGCTAAGATTGATTCACGAAGTAGTACAAAACGCTGTTTGTTTGTGATTTCTGCTTATGTTCCCACCGACTGCAGTTCTAATGCTGTCAAGGACACACTCCATCACGAACTGAACACGCTACTACGTAGTGCTACTAGTTCAGACAGTATAGTACTTGCAGGGGATATGGAAGCACAAGTAGGGCGTCTGAGCTCTTCAGAAGCTCAGCTGGGTGATAATGATGGGCTTAACTTCGAAATGACTGACAACGGCGAGTGCCTTTTGCAAGTGCGCAAGGAGCACTAGCTGTTTCTTAGTGGCACTGAATTTAGACACAGTGGGCGCGGAAGTGCTACTTAGCGTGACCACATAGCCATAAGTTACAGGTGGTGTGGTGCCATGCTGGATTGCCGCTCGCTTGCGTCGACTCCGATAACGCTTTGATACTACGTTGTTTTTTCCCTGTACTTCACAGGGAAACGTACCAAACAACTCCCTTGAATGGCAACTGAGAGGTTATTTCAGTTCTAGTTCGCGCAAGTTTACGAGGATGCACTGCGTACTGAACTTTTGATCTTTCGTCCAGGTGGAGTAGGATGTCGACCGCCACGCACGACGCAGGAGCATCTGCTTGCGTTTACCGCCAATTGTCGCAGCACGAGTCAATGGATATCCGACGGGTCAATGAACCGGGTGGAATCCAAAAGAAACCTTAAGGCTAATTATGAGCACAATGTAACCAGATGACCATTAGGCGCGAATTAAAGCTGAGCCTAGGTGCTGACAAGAAATCCCAGGGGACCCAGTGGGCCCAAGAGATGGAGCAGGTAGGAGCAGTAGGCAATTATCGCAAATCTTCAGGCTGATTCGCACCACTGGTTCTAGGAAACCAGGTGTCAGTAAGACAAAGAGAGACAGCGCGGCTACCATGATTCACAATAAGAGGCGCCGTATGGCTCGATGTGCGGAGCGCCTTCAAGATCAATTAATTTGACCACTTGCTTCCTGACTTCTTCGCACGCAGGTGAGGCAAGATGAGTCATGGGACGGGTAGTTTAGATCCTCCATCAGAGGCTGAGGACCGAAACGCGATCATAGCCTTCAATGGTTTTCGTGCTGTTGGTTCGGATTCCCTCTCACCTGCATTATTCAAGGATGAAGGTAAAGCCATCTGCAAAACAATGACCTTTCTGTCCGAACATGTCTGGTAGGAAGACACCGTCCCTGTTAACTGCAGTGAACCGGTTACAGTAGCAATACACAAGGAGGGCTAATCACAGGGATGTTAGCCTAAGGACAGTTATGACAAAAATTCTGGCCTCAGTCCTCGTTCGCCGCCTCACTGCGGAACAGGAATCCCGGGTTGGGGAACACCAAGGTCTCCGCCCAGAATGTAGTCGTAAAGACCACATGTTCACCTTGCGGCAGGTGATAGAGCAGCGCCACGCATATCGCAGACCGACAATAGCTGTGTTCCTCGATTTCAAGAGTGCATTCGATGCGGTCGAATGATCTATTATGTTCAAAATACCGGAGTATAAAGGTGTTCCCATGAAAAATGTGAACGTTTTACGTGCTCAACACTAGACCAAAGGCCGCGTCAGGGTCTATGGTGGCCTGTCGGATAGCTTTCTAATCACAACTGGCGTTCGTCAGGGTTATGCAGGCTTTTCATTTTTGTTCAACTTTGTCGTGGACTCCATCATGGAGTGTTCCCTTACGGAATCTCACAACGCAGACGCTGTGGTGCTGCCTAGTGAAAAGCTAGTTGATCTTGATTACGCGGACAATATGGTCTTGTTGTTCAACAATATCGCGGCGGTGCAATGAACCCTCTAAGGTGGTCCCATAATCTAGCATGCGCTTTGCGCCTTCAAAGTGCAGTGTTGCCGCAGGATCATCAGCCACTTGATGACACCTTGGCAGTGATACTCAAGCTAGTTCCTTAGAACAACAGATAGCACTGAATAGGCTGCGCTGCCTTGGGCACATACTACGTATGCCCGGTCACCGCTTACCTAGGACGGCGTGGTTAGTCTGTCAGGTGCAGGGTGGCGCAAGGCTCGAGGTGGAGAGAAGTTGACTTAGCAGCGGGAAATAAAGTCAGTGACGAGCAAACTGGGGGCTGTTGGTCCGTCTCGCCTTCAAGGCTGGAGTCCACGTGACTCATCTTGTGTTGGGCTCAAGATTTTACAGGACATGGCTAGCAATTGACACCAGTGACGAGTCTGCTGCAGTGTCCTAGTCGGAATGCCTGTTTAAAGTGTGTTTGGTGCTGAGTTATCTGCGGGGTAATGATTGATTATAACGCGGGGCAGTGAAAGCCGCAAGAAAGCTGTCTCGCTGATGCCGCCTTATCCTTGCAGGATAGCCAGCTGTTTGTGACGGTAGGCTGTTGACAAAGTGTATGCACCTTGATCGCAAGTGTCTGTTCAGGATATTAGGTTTTCCAGTAAGTTTCATTTCTCTCACTTATTTGTATTATTTTTCCCCACGTCGTTTTGGTTGTATGGCAGCGTAGCTTTAGCTGATGTACTCTTCTTGTTGCTGCTGCTGTTGATGATGATGATTAGGGTGGTGATCAGATGGTGCTACGCTGCCGTATAACCACAATGACATAGTGGTAGTAGTATATTCACAAGCTGATAACGCATGACGTGCCATTAGAACCATGGCGAAATAAAGTGGGGAAAGGAAATACAACATAAAGGAAACTAATTTTCGGTTTTATACACGAAGTTTTGGGATTTGCTGTGTTTAGTAGTTTTATGTTCGATGAGACGTTAACTAATAGATAACACGGTTGAACAGCACTCACTTCGCTGATGTCGGTTGCGCGCCATTGCCTCCAAAGTTTCTAGCCACTGACAGTCCGAATCGCGTGGTCCCCATCCTGGAAGGCGGACCCGTCCGACGGAAGCTAAGCTTAAGGTTGCATTCTTCATGCTCCTTCTCTACGTCATTGGTTGTCCACTGCGGCACTTTTTCCAATCGCTTCAGGGGAGCGCAAATAATGCTCAACAGGGAAGGCGATAGGCCAGCATGCGGAATACGTGGCCGAGCCAACGCATGCGGTGTCAGAGAAGGCATGGAGGCATGGACTGATAGCTCCAAACACTCGCTCTCGGAATTCTGCGTTACTCACGTGATGCTGCCACCAGACGCGAGCAATCCTACCCAGACAACGACTGTGGAAAACTTACAATCGCTTTATGTCTTTCGAGCGAGTCGGCCAGGTCTCACAACCGTACAAGAGGACCGCACGGACAGAAGCAATGTACACCCTGCCCTTGAGTTTGAGACTGACGTCGCGACGGCGCCATAAGTGTCTCAGTCTGATGAATGCAAGGCAAGCCTTTGCGATCCGTTGTGAGACCACATCTCCAATACATCCGCCAGCTGTGATGCAACTCCCTAGATAAGTGAAAGAGTGAACTTGTTCCAGGACGTTACCAGCAATGGTGATGGTAGGCATAGGTATATGCCAATCCTGGAGTAGTACTTTATATTTTCCTGGCGTGAAACACAGGCCATAGTTAGATGCCGCCATCGCTAAGCAGTTCAGAGTGCTCTAGACGGCTTGTGGATCGTCCCCGAGCAAAGGGATATCGGCGTAGTCCAAGTCCGAGACTTTGTCCCCTGATAGAAACTACCGCAGTTTTGGGGCTTCCAAAGTC